CACACACACACACACACACCAGAGCCTCACTACCTCATTGCCCTATTTGCTAAGTTTTTACATCGGGTATATTTAAGATTTCGATTCTATTTTGAATTTTCCACTCTTAATTAGACAACTTAAGGCAGCATCTGCCTATGGTAGAGATGGTGAACTTTCAATTACACTGATAAGCTTAGAAAAAAAATAAAAGGCTACTTTTCACTCTTGATGAGCTGCGTCAAGATCTTCTGAGAAGAGGACAAGTGGTGAGGATGAATGAAAAGTTCACTGGACACCACACCCTAGTTTGGGGGTACACAGTGAGATAGTACTGTGGATGGTTAACAATAGGGTGCAAGAGCGGCAATTGTATCTCCAGAGCAACCAACAGAGGAACATGGAAACACAGTCCTTCAGAGCAGATTATGGAGCTTAAAACCTGGTTTTTGTTTGTTTCTTTCTTTGTTTACTGAGTTCTATGCTGAGTGTCTTTCTGACCAAACACTGTATAATAAGAAAAAAGAGTTGTGAAGGAAGCAGGGAACTAGGAGCTGAGTTTCTTATCAATGAAGCAATGTAAACATGCCTGTCTTCTTCACTGAACTAAAGGGAAGAACTGTAACTTAGTACTTTATATTACTATTTGGTTCTCCCATGTGTTGTTCCTCATGCTGTTCTCATGAATTTTCAAGTCTGTGAACAAATTCCTCAGCTTTTGATGAAACTGGACCAACATTAAACTAGTTTAGACTCAAATGAGACAAGCTTCTCAACTGTGTTTAAGCACCATTCACCGTTTTATTTTCTACCTTCCATAGGGTTAATCCTTTCTTCAGCTTAGTCTCCTTTTTTATTGAGATGAGACCTGAGCTCTAACAAGAAGATACTTAATTAAAACCTTTAGGTCCTCTCCTTGTAGAAGAGTGAGTCACCATAGACTCTTCTATCACTGGCATAGAAAGTTTGAGCTATGCAGCAAATTTCAGGCAAATCTGAACTACAACATGAGCCCCTTTCTCAAAAACATCACACCATGCCAAAGTAAAACAGCAAAGGGACAAAGCTGTTTCTTCCCCCAACTAAGCCCACTGGTCTTTACTGCCCCTGTCCTCGTAGTTTAAAGGTAGAGGATAGTCGTCCATACCTTACAGGAAAATTGTGAGCTTACTGATGATCTACGAGACTGTGGCTGGTCCTCAGAAATTGATATCATGGCTTACTAAACCTGCAAAGTCTCTAAGATTATCATATCCTTTAGGACGAGCTTGAAAGCAACTAGCAAGTATGTATTTGAAGGGAGCTTTTCTATGACATGGCCCAGAGCAAGGATAAGTCTTACTCGGCCACATAACTATGTTTCCTGATACCCTAAGCAGATTTTGACAAGGGTGATTGGTTTAGGTTCCCTGTTGGGTTAGTATCTTCATCTATGTGAAAACCTAGGAAGAACCATCTAATGGAGAAAAGGTGCATTCAGACTCTGGGTTTCAGAGTTTCAGTCCATTGACGATCATGGCAGAAGTGACGGCAGGTAGAAGGAATGCAGGCAGAGAGAAAGACTGGAAGGGGGCAACGGAAGGATTTATCTTTCCAGGGTTTATCCTCACTAACTTATTTCCTACAGTGCATTCAGCTATGACTATATTTGTGGGTTAATCTGGTGATGAAGATAAAGTCCTGATGAGCCAATCAAATCTCAGGAGCCCATTCGGTTGCGAAGGAGGCTTTAGCAGTGTGACTTTTAAGAGGACGGTTCATGTCCAAGCTACAACCCTTACTGATGACTTTTGAATATAGATCTGCAGTGTAACACAAAAGAACAGCATGAGCAGCCATTTTTTTATTGTAAGTTTAAACCTCTCCTTCCCCCCCCCCGGCCCCAGGATTTTTATGTGAGTTTCAGAAATGCAAAGCTATATCTAGAATTACCAAAGCATGGACACATTATCTGAGCCCTCATGAAAAAAAATCTCTGTGACATTTTGTTAACTGGTTCAAAATTAATGTACACTGAATGTGATGTTTTATATCTACTTCCTGGAGCCCAGATATTAAAACTCTACCTTTCCGTGTACTTTAATGGTACCAACCTTTCTTAAGTGGCCCCTCTTGCCCGTGTTTCATGCACACCCAGAAACTAAATGTTTAAAGCATCGGGAACAAAAGCCCAGTTTTGCAACTTTAAAAGTTGTCTAGCTTTTTTCTTTCCCACCATGAATGCTCCCCGAAGTATCTAGTTTCATTGCAGAAAGGAGAGCAGATTATTATGGTCTGCATGAGGCTTCGTGGGCCTGAATCTGCTGAGCAGAGCATTTGAGATGGGGAAGTGCAGGTCATCTGAGAAACATTTAGTGCACAGGAAGAGTAACCCGAAAGGTTTACACTCCAGCCAAAGTGAAGTGTTTCTCAAGGACACTGATTCGCATGCAACTTACATGAACTCAAGGCATTCTGGGAAGATCAGTTTATGAGGTAATACATTACTCACTCACAAAGAAAAACAAAGAGTAAGTTTTTATTTAAAAATCAATATCTCACATATCAATACACAAAAATCAAGTTAGCAATGCCTCTGCTTGATTTCTTTTGCATAATTGGCTTAAAAATTCCTCCCTTCTTTAGTAGCACCGTGGATTTATATGTACTTTACATTTCAGTTGTTCTACTATGCTTATGTCTTTGTACAAAGTCTCTTTCCTTATAGATCTCAAAGAGCACTTTAGAAATAAGGCAAGATGATACAATATAATCAATCTAGGAAAGTCTTTAGAGAAAGGATGCTTTGGGACACATAAAATTCCACCTGAGTTCACTGTGAATTTGTAGATTTGCTCAGAACAGTCTCCTCTTCTAGATGACTCCATGTTGGATTTTAATCTCAGTTCAGGTAAATGATGAATGTTAGTGGCTCCCTCCTCCCTGCTCTCCTGAACATTTTCCTAAAAGACTAGCTGTAAATGTGCCATAATATTTGAGGTTTTACACACGTTCTTCCCTGAGTCGTCCTTGACTGTGTTCATAAGCAGAACATAGGATAATGGCATGCATCATAATAAAAGGTTGATAATACTTTGGTATCCATAGATAAATATGAATCATTTTATATTTTATAAATTCTAGGGGATTCTAGTCATTTCAGTGTGGTAGAAATATACTTAGTGCCCTCTCTGAGAAGTAATTTGCTACTCATTTACTCTATAGTCCAGCTCGTGTTTCTCTGGATGCCAAGAGCACCGTGTCTGCTCCATTATTTACAAAAGACAGACAGTTTAAAGCTTCGCGGCAAGGATATTTTTAAGTGGCTTTGAAATAGCATCATGGGACTAAAAACAATTGGCTGTGAAGCCAAACCTTGTACTAAATTTGAAAATTTTTTGAAACCCTAGCATCTAGGAAATAGATTCCTAGAGGAGCAGCTATCCACGTGGATTTCTAAATACTATACCTTTATCTTTCTCAGCATCCACCAAAAGGGGTCTGTGCTACCTCCTCCCCTCTCTAATTTCTGATCTTGGCTCCTTGGAGATTTCACAGTTAACTCAGGTTAGGATCACTTTGTGTGTGTGTGGAATGTAACGCAATGTAAGATAATGCAATGCAGAGTCTTCAAACTCACAAAGGCACCTACAGTGAGTGACATGTGTACTCCAGCAAGGCCACATATCCTAAGCCTTCGCAAAGAGCATTGTCACTGTGGACCAAGGATGCAAATGCCTGAGACTATGGGGATCATCTCATTCCAACCACCAAAGTCTCAAATAGGGAACACAGACTTCTTGTCTTGACTATCAGTTGTCAGATTGATGTCTCCATGACCATCTCAGAAACAGCTATGTAGACGCAATCTTTTTCACATATTGATATATGATGGATTGCTTTTACAAAATTGAAGGTTATTATCTTATATTGGAAATTAAGATTTTCTTGTTCCTTTCTAGAAACTTTTAAAAAAAAAAACTAATTGCAAGGAGCCTCATAGGAAAGAGGACCTGAACCAGTTGCCCTTCGTGGGAACTCCTCAGTTGATATTTTCATTTATTCTATATGTCTGGTTTTACAAGTATGTTTTTTTTCCCTGGTACTTGCCTTCTCCATGCCTCATGTCTGTCTTTAAAGGAGTGAATTCTGAGTGAAGTACCAAGCTATGCTAGTTTCTGGAATCACATATTGTCCTAATAAATCCAATCATAAGCTATGGGGAGGAAGAACAGGTTCATTTTCTGGGAAAACAGACTTTACAGTCTCTATTTCCCACAGCTACCAAAAACTCAGCTGCCTTTTGATTTTTTGGTTTTTGTTCTAGGGGAATGGGTATAGGCTATGTTCCATGTCACAGAAGACTCTTTGTCATCTCTTAAGACCCATTTTTGTTTTCTGAGTGTCTTATGGGAAAGAGGATATGAGAAATCTTTCTGTACCTACACACTTACTTCAACTTTCTTTGCCCTGTGGGCTGCTCATCTTCCACTTTGTCTAAAGACGCTTATCCTAGATCTCAGCTCTGAACCAGATGAGAGTCACTGAAAAGAGACAATACACAGATCCTGCACTGCAGAGTGTTTCAAGTCATTGGCTTGTGGGAAAGAGAATAGGCATTTGTTTTGTTTTGCTTTGAGTCCTATTTGAGTCTCAAAATAATCAGGGACTAAGAACAACAGGTTTACTATGTGCACTTTGTTTTAGAAGTTTGTATCGAAAGATTAAATGACCAGATTGCATTTATACCCTTTTTGAAATGTTGTAGTATCGAAATCTAACACGTTATAAAATGTTAATTTATCTTAGTACTTAAACTTTCTCTTCTTTGAAAAAAAAAACCCAAAAACAAAAAACAGGGAGGTTTAATTCAGTTTGTACATATCCTTGGCATAGACTTGCCTTCGGAAACAGTTCTAGGCATTAGCTTTCATTGTTGAGATCATTTTATTATCGTTGCGTTAGTTAACCATTGTTTCCTGAATGACTTTATCTGTAATTGTGAAGTGATGTTTATGTCACTATCTTTCTCTTACTCATAGCAACAGAAGAATGGGCCACAACTCGCTCCAGCCTGAAGGCACCACCATCAAGGTCAGCCAGAGGGGGATACAGGGAACACCCCTATGGTAGATATTGAAGGTCCTCCTCACCTGTGACCTCCTCAAAGACAGTTCATAGCCTCTGGTCTCCACATAAACAGCAACAAGACAAGTAATAGTTCTTTTTTTGTTTGTTTGTCTTTTCTATCTAGGGACATCTGCTCATAATTCCCCCCACCTATTTCTTGTATTCCCCCTATACTGTTGACATGACAATGACGCTAGGTATTATTTTACAAAACAGACTGCAAAACTCATTGGCAAGCATAGTTTATAAACCACTCAGTAGGATGAAATCTCTTGATTGTTTTTTTTTAACTGTTGTGTGTAAAACGCCTTTCCCCTTTTTGTTTTAGTATTATTTTTCCTTTTTCTTTTTTGTAAGAAAGAGCATGAATCTGTTAGCAGATTTTGAGTCTCAATCAACTAACAGAACCTTTGTTTAGGGTTGATAAAAGACTGTAATATGATTTTGAACTAGCTGATAATAAAGTTGTAGATAAGATGTTTTAACCTGTCTTTTAATATCTGTTAGTTAGATGGAGATGTTCAATATTAAGTTGTAAATTTAATTTTTAAATGCTGTTTTAATGGGGTTGAAAAGAAGCAGCTACTGTATGTATGTAGCTAACTGAATTTGTTCAGTGTTTTAACCTGTATTTGTTAAAAAAAAAAAGAAAAAAAACCACACATAAAGTTCCATGTGTAAGCCTCTCTAAATAGGAACCACAATTTGTCAAATATGTTTGCCATAATTTGTCAATAAAGCTGAAGGCTTTTGTAAAAACTAAATTTGGAATTCCTTGTTTTCTAACTTTAAATGCCTGCTTTATTTCTTCTTCAAGAGATGCCTAAAATGGTTTCTATTTAAAAATTACAAAAAGGAACCCAAGCCTGTTTTAAGATATCTGTGTAATACTTAAAATGTATTAATAACTTTTGGTTGTTAAATAATTTAAAAGTTAACAAACTAAACTGTTACATGAATCATGGTTAGTAAACACTAATGTATAACATGTTAATGGAAGAAATGGATTTAGAATAATAAATGGATTTTAAACTATCCTCTAAGCTCTATCTTGCTAAACACAAATTCTGATTGACTTGTTTGCACTAGCATGTCTCTCGTGAGAAAGAGTAATGGAGTATAAAGAGGTAAGATTACCACTTACCACTGTCTAAATGCCTAGTTCTTCAACCTTTGAGTTTCCCCGCACATTAAATATCCCATCCAACATGTAAGCATTGCGTAGATTCTTCACGTTATTGTTTTCACTCGAAGGAGTGCGTGGACTTCATTTGCGTAGTTTCTAACAGTCTGTTTGACAAACGAACCATCAGTGTCAATGGCTAGTTGTTGCTATTCAACCTCAAAAAACTCTATTTGTAATTTTCAGTGCTAAATATCACCGCCCTTGAAGGCACTTTAGAGGGCTGATATTTCTTTTGAGACTATCAGACTTGATGGCTGATGAGTATTAAGGAAATATGTCGCAGGACTCACAGGATGACTTAACGTTAAACAGGTAACACTAATATAGTCACTGTAAGTTTGCCTATGCAACAGCAATGTTAAATCTTCTCAGTTATTAAGTTCCTGATAGTTAAAAAAGTAAACCTACAAAAAATATAACAAATAGGTCTATAGGCTATTAAAACAACTAATCAACATTAACTAGAGGCACCAAAATTATTTTACAATATATAACCCTCAAGGTAATAAAAAGAACTAAAATTAGCAATAACAGTAATGCAACTCTTGCTAACATCAAACGTAAGCTAAATTTTGATGGAGAAAAAGAAAGCGAAAGACTTGATAGTAGGGATGGATACCAAAACTACTACTCCTTTAAACATAGTTTTTTTTGTTTACGGTGGCTTTTTGTCAATGTGATTGGTTTACTTTTTTTGCTGCTTATCAGCTGAGGCATTTTGCTGTTTAGTTTTTGCAGCTGGAGTTGCATGCTAATAGTTTTATGAAGTGTGTGTCTGTCATCGATTAAAGTTGTTAACATTTGCCCTTTAAGCATGCTGCTTAGTTATGTTTTCGTCTTCTATTCTTTCTTACTATTTCAGGTACGCACAAAGAACACATAAGTGGTAGCAGATGTGATGGGCTAAGGAGGATAAAGGTAAGCAGACCGTTGTCATGTTTGACATAATCTTTACCAAATTACAACACAGCCTGAAGCTATAGTAGCAGGCTAAAACTCTAAAAGCCACGTTTTTGTATACTTCCAAAAGCTTAGATTTTTGTTAAAGAGCTGACCAATTTTTATCTTTGCATAAAAGATAAAGCTTGACAGTCAGCTAGCATAGTTTTCTACAGTTACTTAAGAACTTGTCAAATGAACTAAGAAGTAGTGATTAATATTTAGCCTTTTTTTTTTGCAATGAACTTGTTTTCTACAAACTAGTTTCTCAATTGCACCATCACAGTAGTAAAACTTTTAATACTCTAAAGACACAAAAGCAGAAAATCTTTAAGAAGGTTTAGGGGAAAGATAAAGGGGTCCAAATAATTAAGCCAACCACTGCAACCCTTTTGGCCAATCAAGAAAACACCACCAGGGCTTTCCCAATTGGATCTTGTTGTTAAAAAAAAAAAATTGCTTGTTAAAAAAAAAGGAAGGAAGGAAGGAAGGAAGGAAGGAAGGAAGGAAGGAAGGAAGGAAGGAAGGAATGAAGTAATTAATTAATATAATTAAAGAAAGAAAAAGAAAAGAAAAGAAAAATGCTTGTTTCTCAGCTGCCATTTTATTTGTTAGCAAATAGTTTATTAGTTAGCAAATATTTCCTAGAGGAAACTGAGGCCTAACTTCTATACCCAAGGAGATGAAAATATTAGCCAATAAACCAGAGTAAAATCAAAACATAGATGGTTATGAAATCCACAGGCTAACCCCAGGCAAAGAGTACTGAAATGACTGTGTGCAATGTCCGAGGAAGGACTAAAAGCCCCAAGCTTTCTGTCTCTGATCATTTTGTTGATTTGTGTGGTTTTGTGCTTCTTAACTATATAAATATTCATTCTTTGGGTCAAGTTTCACAGGGTGCTAGTGCTTGGGATGGGTTTCAGAACGTGGATGGACTGGAAAAAAAAAAAGAGGATACTCTATTCCAGGGGGAGGAAAAAGACCTTTGGGATGGCAATGCACTGTTGTAAATGCCTTTTCAACCCACAGCCCAGGAGATTTTCGAGTGAGCAGTGCCTTGCAGGAGTGCAGCAAGGAGGGAGGGGCATTAGAGAGAAAACATCCTCAGGGAAACAAGGTAAAAGCCCCTTGGAGCCATTGGCAATTATTGAGCACGTGTTCTTGTAACGTGGTTTCTCCATATTCAAGTTGTTCAGGTAACTACGGAACACTATCTGAGTTTCAGCTCTAGGTCCTTTGTAGACTCAGACATTCAAAGTTACCGAGGAAAAAAATTATTTAGAATTAGAATTCTAAATGTTTTTATAAAGTACATGGCAGCAACTCAGAATGAGATACCCTGCTTCTTTGAACCAGCAGTGGGGTTTGATAACTTGAGAGCACAATGAAAGAATCCCAGCCATAGTGATACACTAGTCCTTATGTATATGTGTTCATTATAATAATCTAATTGTTCTTGTAGATGTATGAGCTAGCCTGACTCTCATTTATTCTATAGCAGGATTACCTAGCTTTGGACACCTCAATCTCAAGCAGGTCCTGCTGGTAGCATGTCTTCCAGAACCTCTCCCAACCGTCTTGTGGAAGATGCTGTAGAATGTTTCCCTTGACTTATTAGAAAGAGCAAGGGCCAGGGCGTTTGGAAGAGCTGTACACACGCGTAGGCCTTCTTCAGAAAGGCAAGGAGAATCTGGAAAACATGCAATCATCTCCAGAAAGTCAAGGATCCATGCTGACTATGGTGCAGAAATGTCAGTGGACACAACCAAGTGGAAAAGAGAGAACAGTTGGTCCCTGCCACCTCCAAGACTCAAAATCAAATCACTGAATGAAAAGGAGGGAAATAATCCCTTGAATTATACAGGAACTCAAGGCCTAAATTGGTTGGGTGAGCCTAAGATTATTTTTTCCTGCCTAGAAGAATTTGTAGAGTAATGTGAAATCAAATTAGGAATAGAAAAACATAATGTTGCATATACATAGCTGATTTTTTTACTGAATAATTTTCCAACTCTTTAAATAGTTAGAAATGAATACAATGGAATTCTCTGGAGCCAGGGAATGAAAATTCTACTAGTTTAGAATGACAGTCTTTTACCCAGTGTTCCAAACAGGATGCTTCTCCCATACGCAACAGAAAGCTTTGCTGAGTTCCGCTGTCAACATCCTATCTGCTCTGAGGAGCACATAGTGATAGCTCATAAATGTAGTAAATATTTTCATGTCTGAAACCACATCATGCATGGGGTGGAATTTCGAATCAATCTCTGTGCTTTCTGTTTACATACATTCTGAAGCTCTCTGTGAACTTATATATGGATTCCTTCGGACAATGAAGTTTCCATGAATGAACTGACAATCCTACGACACCTGGGTACTCGTTAAAATACCAATTCTGAGCCATTAACAAAGTATTTTTAATAATAATAGCATTAGGTATTAAGAAACTTTTGTGCCTGCATTTGTCCAAGTTTTAATATGTTCAAGCTTAGCTAAATTAGAATCAATTTGTTTACATTTGAGAACCTAGCCAGTGATTCCAAGTCTTTGAATACTTAGATAGTATTCACCTTTAGTTTATTAATGGACCCAAAGCCATTTGGCTTGATAACAACTAAACTAACCATTTTTAATGAAGTTGACATAAAATGACATAGAAACATTTTTGGAAATTCAATAGAAGAAGTCAATGTTTTAGAAATATGTTATTAAAATAAGGCCTTTACTCCTTTAGTGGTTCATTTAAAATCACTTGGGCTTGTATTTTCAAAACCACACATACCCTTGGAAAGAAATCCTTTATAGCCTTCTCTCTGAGTTCATCCAACATAGACATATTCAGAGTTTGATTCTGTCTGGCTTTGATGGGAATGCAAAACACTGGTCAGGAGTCTGAGTGGGCAGAACGTTCAGGTTCAAGTTCCGATACGACCTGTTAATAAGAATGTTGTTCGCCATTCCAGCAGGCTCCATGGGAAGGCATACTTTTTACGGAAAATATACTGCAGTAAATGTGTGGGAATGTGCAATTGTAAGGCATTTTATAAATTAATTCTGTATAGATTAATATGTAATATAGGGCAGAACATCAAAAATAATAGCAGTAATCATACTACCTTTCGGTTTTAGTCACACATGCCAAATATAGAACCAGAAGTTTTACATAAACACAACTATTAGACATATATAATTTTAAATAAAATACCTAGAATAAAGTTCAATTCTGTAGAGCAGACATTAATTTTATGCTGCTAATAAGAAAAAAAGGGAATATGGAAAAGAAAGTTTTCTTTCCACTTGCTATTGTTATTTTTACTCTTTTATTGTTTGAGAATTTGTATTTTTAACAATTAAATGGAAAGGGGCAAGTGAAATGGCTCAGAAGTTACAAACAGTTGACATTCTTAGGAAAAGCTTGAGCTTGGATTCAGGTATCCAAGTTGGGGTCCTTCTCACCCTCATGCAACTCCAGCTCCAGGGGATCCAAAGCCCTTTTCTGGCCTCCATGAGGACCTGCATATTTCTGGCATTCACTCACACAGACACACACACACAATTATAAATAAATTTAAAAATAATTATATAGAGAGTCATAATTTTGAAGAAATTTGATTGGAAATGTGGAAACCCCAAACAAATTTATTCTAATGTCTCTTCTGTAGCAATAAAATGAATACCTTTTGAAAACACACTGTAGTGTTTTTCTTTTACTTTGAAAGGCATTTTTACTATGCTATTTCCCCATATATCATTCTTCTAAAATGCCTGACTCCTTGACTGAAAGATGCAGGTGAAAGCATCACCCGGTTGTCGCAAAGCACGGCTGCAGCCTTTTGTAGAGCCGGAGATTCCATCTACCGTCTAAGCTCCATTTGACACTATGATAAAACTCTCACATAATTAAATGAGCATGAAAGCAATTCCAGGCTTTTGTTCTGCAATCAAAGATCAGAACTCGGTTTTTTTTTTAAAAAAAAAAAACATTTAGTGTCAATTTCAACACAGAAATAATTCTGTGTAGCCATACAATCATGTATTAAGATCACAAATGAGGGAAACAGCCCATCTTGAACACTCTTTAAAATTACTCCAAGGTAATATGTCCCATTTGTCTGGACATTCTGATGTCCTGATCAAGAGCTGATCTGATAAACAGCGGTGTCACTGGCTGACATACACTAGTATTCTACATCTAGCTTGGAGGTTAATTTCCTGGCTCCGTATGCAGAATATATTAGTTGGTTCTTTAAAGATTGTTTACAGCGACAGAGGAAAGGTCACTGGACTTAATATGCATTTTACACTGAGTATTTTGTACATGGTGAGGAGAGGGGTTGAGAGGAAATAAGATGTCTGGTTCCCACACACTACACATCTTAAGAGGTTCAGGTTTATCTTATTTACTCACGAGAGAGAGAGAGAGAGAGAGAGAGAGAGAGAGAGAGAGAGAGAGAGAGAGAGAGAGCGAGCAAATATTCCTTTAAATATGGTTGGCCAGCTACACATCAATAATGCTTTGTTTCTGACCCACCGTGCTCCACTCTGCAGTAGTATAGAATGAATTATTTATTTACTTAAGGGAGAGACTTGAGAGAGATGCCTCCTTTTCTCAGCATCTTCCTTGAGATAGGTCCCCAACTAGTTTTCTGACACCCTAGTGTCTCTTAGGGTACCTTAGACTGGTGGTGATGCTTACCCTCCTGTCTCACTCTGTCTACCTCATGTGGGAATATCGCATTCTCTATCCTGTAACCTCATAGCCTGCCTTTGTGAAGAAGTTCTTGACATTCTCTGAGGTCACAGTGACACTCCTTTCCCAATGCCTCCTGTCACTTTCTTAGTAACACGTGACATAGGAAAATGACAAGAGAGAAACTCAAGTTCTCTTCCTGGGAGAAAGGTTTGTGAGATTATGTACCAACTCTCACTATTTCTTTCTATTTAAATTTATCCTAACCACAACATAAAAATGGGTTTTTTTACATGCTAATGGGGCACAATATAATAAATTGGTGCATATTATAGTGTGTAATGCTTAAGTCAGGACAAACATATCTATCAGCTGAAGTATCTTGTCTAGTGATGAAAACACGGGAAACCATTTCCCTGGCTTTTGGAAATGCACAGGAGCATGGCTGTTGTGTGCAGTCACTGCCCTGAACCGTGACAGCAGAGCATCTTGTTCCTGTCCACACATAACTTAGCAAATGCTGATATATTTCCCCAACCCTCTCATCCCTCAATGCAGCGCTCAACTTCTAGGAGATCAACCATTTGCATTCTACACATGGTTTTAATGCCTGTTTTATTTCACCTCATGTAATAATCTCTAATTCCGTCCATGTTGTTTCAAATGGCAGGATTTCATTCCTTTGTATGGCTGAATAGTATGACTGAATAGCTATGCATATGGACGGCATTTACTCTACCTGTTCATCGGGTGATGGCCATGTTGGTATTTCCATGTCTTGACTACTGTGGGTAGAGCTGCATTGAACACAGGAGTGCAGGTATTTCCTCAACATACCCATTTTATTTTATTTTATTTTATTTTATTGGTTCTACCTGGGAGTAGGATTGTGGGACTGTACCATAATTTTATTTAGTTTGGGTTCAACTTTCACAGTATTTTATATAATGACTGTGTGAACTCATATTACATAAAAAAGGGTTCAAGGGTGTTCTTTTTGTTTGTTTGTTATAATAGTCCTACTTACTGGGTTGTGATAATAGTTCATTGGGAATTCATTTGCATTTTCCTGATTAAATAGTGCTGGAGAGCTTTTTGTCATATATCTACCAGATATATAAACAATGTTTTATTTATAATTTGATTTATCTTTTAAATTGTGTGTGTGTGTTTGTGTGGAAATACACATGTGAATATAGGCAACACTTAGAAGCCTGAAGAATCATAATTTCCTAAAATTGAACTTAGAGGTGGCTGGAAGCCACCAGAGTTGGCTGCTAGAAATTGAACTTGGGTCCTCTGAAAGAGCATTGAGTGTTCTTAACTGCTGAACCATCTCTCAGTCCACCCCACCTTGGGGGAATGATATTTAAATACACATATATCACACTTTCCTGGAAACTTCTCTGGGATTCTTTTATCATTGATAACCTCGTAGTATACATTGAATTATTAGCTGTTAACTATTTGTCTATTTTTAATATTATCTCTAGTGACCACTGAAAATTATTGTCTACAAATAGGGCATATTCGACAGTGAATGGATAATTTTCAGAAAAGCTTTATTTTGTTTTATTCTGCTCTTAATGATTCAATTTCACAATTGTTAAAATAACGTGTAACAAAGTTGGTAACAAAGAAAGCCTAATATAAAATTCAGATGTATATTATCACTTCTTCACTTCTTCAAAAAGACAATTTTTGAACTTTATCTTCTTTACCTTCATTTTTTCTCTTTCTCGGATGCTGTTTGTTTATCTTAAGATGCTAGTAAATAGAGGTTTGGATTTAGTAGTTTCATTTGTTCATAGCAGATCACATTATGAAGAAAAGGCTGCTCTCAAATTCCTGTTGAGCAAAGGCTGGTTGCAAAATCATGATGCCCCTGCCTCAGTATCACACATGCTTGTGGACTACAGTTGTGTACCACCACAAGTGGGTTAAATGCACGGAACTGTAACCCACAGAAGTGAGCTGACTTTCAGTTTTAGAGGGACAGAGTTATCTAAAACCCAGTCTGCTAAGGTTAATGTATATGTGAGGATGAATGCTGTAAAAACTGGCAGGGAAACAAGGAATGAACTGGAGTGTGAACAAAATTATTTTAACTTTCTCAACTGCAGTTTTGTCATAGATAAAATAGTCATAATAATAGCACTAGCTCGCAGCATCCTGAGATGAAATAAAATGATACAGGTGACTGTATTTCCTCCCAGATTTACTTGCTATTTAGTTACCTCAAATTGGTACTTTTTCTTTGTCGACAAATTCTAAATGCATGACATCTTCATAGTGTGCGTCAAGTGTGCAAATAGAATTTATTCAATATGAAAGTCTTAGAATCCAAATCAGTTTTTTTGCTAGAAACATTTAATACACTTTTTAAAATATTCTAATTGTAATAATATTAATATTCATCTGGTATATGCTTTAGAACAAAATTTTGAAATTATTATATTTATTCCTTAGCCACATATGTCAAATAACTAATGAGAATTATGATATTTATATTCATAAAAATCCTATAAAATGATATGTATACAAATATATGAATATGTTCTGTGTGATAAAATGAAGGTAATTCCAGCAGTAACTTGGTTCAATTATTATATTAATAATATAAAGAAAATGGCTGAAGCAATAATGGATTACATAATACAAGTTATGGTTTAACTGTCTAAAAATACCTTCACTTATTTTCTCAACATCCTTACACATGATGCAGATAGAACTGGGTGGAAGTATTTACTTTACACAAACCTATAAATTAATGCATCTGACTGCCAGCCTCCAGTGACCAGAAAGAATCTATATGTTGATCTATAGATCTAGAATCTATATGAGGTTTCTGTCCTGCCTGGTTCCACAGCCATTCAGTCCCAAAGAAACACACAGAGGCCTACATTAATTATAAACTCGTTGGCTTAGTAGCTCAGGCTTATTATTAACTAACACTTATATCTTGCATTAACCCATAATTCTTGTCCGTGTTAGCCACGTGGATTGTTACCTTTATCAGCGAGGTATTTTCATCTTGTGTCCTCTGTGTCTGTGTGATGACTGCAGACTGAGTCTTTCCTCTTCCCAGAATTCTCCTATTCTGATCATCCCACCTATACTTCCTGCCTGGTTACTGGCCAACCAGCATTGTATTAAACTAATAAAAGTGACAAATCTTTACAAGACCATTGTCCCACAGTACCTACATCTAAGTACACAAGCCTTCTTGATATAGGCATATAATAAATAACCTAGTAACATAAAACTTCACTAAGAGTGAAAGTAAACTAGGAAATTGTGGGTCTCAAACCACAACCATGATCACTTCTTACTGAAGACATTCTTTCTTGTATTGGTGTGTTTCTATGTTAATTCCTGCAAAATAGGGTAGAATTTCCAAACATTATCCCCTTTTCTATCAGACAGTACAACTGAAATGTGCATCATCTTTTGTTATAGTTAAGATACCAAAATAAAACTGTGCATGGAAATAATGAGCAAACCAAGTTTAGAGAGAGGAGCAATAGGAGTCCATTACAAACGCACAGTAAGGGGGAAGCAGAGTCTCATCCTGTATCCCTAGAGCAGGTGTTGTCTCCAGGCTCCAGCAAATGCAGGTTTTCATTAAAGACCATATCTGAATTTCCTGTGTTACCTCAGCTGGCTTTATACTCTTGGCCATAAGATCTTACACGCCTGCCAAGTAGCTGGAGCGGCATTTGTGTGTTATGGTGCCCAGAACAGAACAACTATTTACCCCTGTTTTCTTAGTTCATTGAACTTGCCCTTGTGACATTTTTTTTTTTACAAATTTGAAATTTTTCTGAGTACAATATTGAGAAAGCAATGCAAATTGGTGCCAGCTTCTCACAGTTTTTGGTAATAAAACTCACCATTTAGAAAATTACAAATAATGTATGTGGCAACTTTGGGCTGCAAAGATTAAAAGACAAAACAAAATTAAATCTAGTCATTGCCAGGTCCCACTTTCTGTCTCACAACCACCTGTAACTCTAGTTTTATGAGATCTAATGTCTCTTCAAGCCTCTGTGGGTACTGAACCATGTGGGCATTCGTGGTGCACAGATATCATATAGGCAAACCACAGATAATCAGAAACACTCTTAAGTAATAAGAACAGAATCAATGAGTGCTGAGTCTGTAGGTATCTTTCCCCACAGTTACTGGTATTTTCACAGCACCACAAGTATTTCCAAGCAATAGTGCCCATCCATTGATGTTTTCTGTCCTGTGACTTGATGCAGTGTATGGCGGTACTGCCAGCTTTGACTCTAAAAAGGGTTTTAATAAGAATCCATTGCTTATTTAATACGTTTATATTATTGATAAAGTTTTTAGATTTTTGTGGTAAAGGGTTAATTGCTATAAAATTTCTTGACATGTTAACTTGGTACCAAACATTGGGACAGTTAATTCTCTAGGGTTTAACTCTAACTTCTTAATATCTTATTTTTTAAAAAAATATTTATTTATTTATTTATTTATTTATTTATTTATTATGTATACAATGTTTGTCTGTCTGTATGTCTGCAGGCCAGAAGAGGGCACCAGACCTCATTCCAGATGGTTGTGAGCCACCATGTGGTTGCTGGGAATTGAACTCAGGACCTTTGGAAGAGCAGGCAATGCTCTTAACAACTGAGCCATCTCTCCAGCCCCTTAATATCTTTATTTATATATATATTATCTTAATATAATTAATATTTTTAATTAATATAATATAATATCTTAATATAATTAAGTTCTTAATGTTTTAATATCCACATGACTTACAGTATTGGTAGTTTTCTACCAGTAACTGTGAGATCTCAACACAATTGGTACAGAAAATAAAAACAAATAACACGGTATGAACAGGCTGTGACTAGATGAAGGACACTTATTAAACAGTGGTCTTGTAAAAATCTATAGCTGAAATATATTCAGTGGAATATATTTGCTAAGCAGACAATATCCTTAGCTTCCGCCCACTGAAGAGTAGCATCAGGGGCTATACTTCTGCTTAATTATCTCCAAGAAATATTTGGAAAGAACAGCCAGCCTTCACCTTCCTCATCGCAAGAATTGGTGTCTCCTAGGAAAAAAATATAACTTGTAGAATGTAAACTGGGATACTAGTCTAAGCTGATGGGACGCCATTATCAAGTGAATACTGAATAGGCACTTAATGCTTTGGCTCTGACTTTTTCATGTCTTATAGTCGTAGGTAGCATCTATGATTTCTGAAGATTATCGTACTTATTTGAATGTAAAATACTAATGTTCTATGTAGCCTTGCTAGTACATGCATATATTTACAAACATAGGATTTAATACTTTAAAATACTTCTAAGATAATGTAGAGTGTCTTGATTGGTATTTGTCACCAACCTAGACGTATGGAAAGAGGAAATCTCAACGGAGGAATTGCCTCTTGCAGAGCAGCCTATAGATGAGACTATGGAAATTTTCTTGAATAATGGTTAATGTGAAGGACTCATATCTCTGTGGGCAATGCCATCCCTAGGAAGGTGGCCCTTGGGTGGATAAGAGAGAAGGCTGAACAAGCCATGGGGAACAAACCAATAAACAGCATTTCTCTAGGGCCTCCACATTCCTGCCTTGAGTTCCTGTCATGACTTCCCTCCCTGATAGAATATAAACTATAAACTGAAATGAACTCTTTTTCCCCAGGTTGTTTTCTCATAACTTATCTCAGCAGTAACAAGCAAAGGATTACAATGAGTAAAGAAGGACAAGTTGTCTCTTGTGGAGAAGGCAATGCATTTTACAAATTATATTTTTTCCATTTATTTATTTGAGAAAGCGCATAAAACAAAGGTCGAGTTTTAGAAGTCTGTTTTCTCCATCTGCCATGTGTGGCCCTCAGACTTGGCAGCAACTACCTTGACCCACTGAACTGTTGTGCTAGCCTGCAAGACTGTTTTTTAAAATCTTTATAGTTAAAAAATAAGATTTTATGAAATTAAAAGGTTCTTTTAAGAAAACTCACATGAATTCTACATATTGAGAGTTGGTGTGAAACATTTCCTCTCTGATATAATTAAACTTGTCATTTTTTGCCAGTGATCATGTTTTGTCTGCACGTATGTCTGCTGTATTACTGTGGGCATATGGTTTGTTTCCTTTTCTGTTAAAAGAAAAAAAGCAGCATATGTAAGAGGTTTTAACTTTCTCAGGTTCCAGGAGAAATCTTATTTCCGAACTGAAAACAGGTTCTTGAATTTAACTCATTTTACAGAGCTTTGGTGAGCTACATACCTCCGGGCCTGGTGTCTCAGGACCTCACAGATTTCTGGTTAACCACTGGCGTCAGAAAATGGACTTTTTTTCTGACACCTGCAAATGGTGACTCAAATTCATGCATTTGTAATGAGATGGCCCTTGACTTTCCTACACCCCTAACTCTAGAAAAAGAGGGATCTAAGAATAAATGAGAGAGATTTTCATTACCTGGTCAATGTCCACGACAGAAAAAAACCATATACAGTTTTTAAGATAGTCTAAACCACAAGCCAACATAGAATGATAGACCATGTCATAATGACATTTAGGAACTATCTAATTGAATACCATTTCCTTCTCTTCTGAAGTTGATTTATTTTTGGAGATATGATAATATGTTGCAAACACTTCATATTTTCTGTATAATTGATGTCTAATTGGAAAATAGTGTATCTATGAATACCTGTGATCAGACTTCCTTTCAAAGGGAGGGTACTGGAAACTTCTCTGTTGCAAGGTCACAGAGTTAAAAAAGGATCTTCTTGATCTTGAACTTTCCTTAATAGTAAGTCTATGTGTGTATCACACTCAAGCCAAGTGCCCCTCAGAGCTTATGGAAGACAAAACAGAGCTCTAGAATAAGAGAGACGGGGGTGGGGGGGGAAGCATTCACTCAAGAAAATGAAAGCAAAACCCTACACAAACCCTGGCACAAAGTAAAATCAGTCCTATGAGGAAATTTGTAGCTCTAATTGCCTAGTTTTTAAAAAGACTTCTAACCTGGTAATGGTGGTACACGTCTTTAATTCCAGCACTCGGTCTGGTCTCCAAGAGCTAGTTCCAGGACTGACTCAATTAGAGAGAACTAGAGAGAAACCCTGTCACAAAAAAAAAAAAAAAAAAAAAAAAAAAAAAAAAAAAAAAAAAAAAAAAAAACAAAGGGAGGGTACTTTTTATCTCCTTGAATAACTCTGAATGATGGTGCTAAGCTTCAAGTGGAGATAATTTAATGGACTTATCAGGTGATACCCATGACTGGAAGATCACTGCTCAAGTGATCTGCATATGTAGCATGGTTCTGGTTTTAGTAAGACCCACACATGACATAAAATTATAACTGTCTGATTAAACTGAATGCAGGTTCCTAGGCATAGTTATTATGTATTTGTAATTGCCCTCAACATACAGATAGGAAAACATGATTTGAAAACAGAAATTTTAGTACCAGGCAGGCTGTTAATTTGTTAATGGCTATGTGATCAGATGCAATTAAACTTAAAGTCAAATTATTTAAGTAAAACAATAAGTCATGAAGCTGAGTGTGATGGCATACACCTATAATCTTAGCAGCTGGGAACTGGGGGCAGAAAAATCGTGACTTTAGCTTCAGCAATGGTTACACAATAAAATCTTGTCTCAACAAAAAAAATAAAAAAGAATACTTTTTATGGTTAAAAATAAAAGTTGGGGCTAGAGAGATAGATAGCTCAGATGTTAAGAGCAGTGACTGTTCTTCCAGAGGACCCAGGATCAATCTTAGCACCCACGTGTCAACACATAACCATCTGTAACTCTAGTCTGAGTGGTTATAATGTCCTCTCCTGGCCTCCACCAGCACTAAATATCCATAGAGTGCACAGACATGCATGCTAGCAAAACACTCATACATGTAAGTTAGAAATGCTAACATGGAAAAGAAAAATGGCTTAGTGAGTAAAGGCACTTGCTTTTCAACCTGACCTTCTGAATTCAACCTTAGGGACCCACATGGTCCTTCACCAGCCATCCTCTGAGCTCCACACTCGCACTGTGTTCTGTGCATATGCACACACACAAAATCTTAAAAGTGTAATGCAAAAACACAAACAACATCTTGTATTGCCAAGAATAATGCTTTATTATGTCATTCAAAGGATACAGGTCTTCTCAGAACTTACATAAGTAAAGAAGATTCTTCAGACTTAAACCAAACATTATATGCATAAAATTTCTTATTTACACATCAGGGATTTACATGACCCTGACTTTATTGCTAAGCCAGAATTCTACTTTAAACAATAAAATTTAGAAAAAAATATTAAACTAGTTGCCTATCATAAATAAAACATTTGCTAAGTAGTCCACAAACATTGAGCCATTTTTCAAGTTTTTCAGTTACAGAATTAGCATTTCTTACAGGTGACCCAGGTGTCATATTTCAAGCAGTACACATACAGTATTTCAAACATACATAGATCTGATCTACATGGATTGTAGAAAAAGACAAGATCTCCTTGGTAGCATGGGGACCTTGGGAGAGGGTTGAAGGGGAAGGGAGAGGCAGGGAGGGGAGCAGAGAAAAATGTAGAGCTCAATAAAAAAAATCAATAAAAAAGAGTACATTCATATTAACAGAATGTCTATAACATAAAGCATTTGAACATTTGCCAATAACTCTAGCTACAGTTAACAATAGCTTATGGTTTTTGTTAGAATAATAAAACGTAAAGTTTATCCCCAGTGTGTTTATAAAGTATATTTAATATTTTAATTATTAATATATAAAATCAGCCATAAAGTATCTGTGATAACATGTTGCATTAATTTTAACTGGAGGGAAGATCAAGAAGTTATTATTTTATTTCTCATCAGTTTGTATGAGAAATGCCCAGAGAATGTGCTCAATAATTTTTTTTTTGCTATGGAAGATCAATAGCTTTAAAAATAAACACATCAATTAATATATGAATTAATACACAACAACATGCAGAGTTAAACAAAGTATATACAGTGGAGGTACAAGGACTTGCTTTAACACGCGTGTATATGTGAGATAAAAGTAAATAAAAATAAGCCAATTGCTCAGGTGACATGTTCCTCAATGCTCTGTATGTAAAGTTGGCAGACTCATTTGGAACAGTAACAGGTATAAAATCACCCTTTTAACTGTTGAAAACATGGAGATTTGGTGTTAACAATGGGAAAATACATATTTGTGACAAATACCAAAAATATAGGAGCTGAAATAATCAAATTATAATCAATTCAACTGCATGTATTTTAATTCAACAGTGTCTAGGAAATGCCAAACCAGCTCAGAAATGAACAGCCTATTGTCCCAATGTCCCAAGCAGTCAGCTTTGGTCAGGAATATCAAGTTTGTCATTATTCAGTTATTTTCATAGTGTGAAGTTGGCAGGGCATCTTAAATTTCCCTTCCATCAATCACCATTTCTGAACATCCTGTTGATGGATGAAAGCAGAGGACGTGAAGAAGAGGAGAGCCACAGCTTTATTTAAATATATTTGCAGTAGCACTCGCTCATGCTATGTGTGATGCAATGTTACACTTAGTGTACAGAGGGTATGTGTTCTCTTTTTCTCAGTGTGTGATGCATTTCCCCCATGAATAAGGATGGCCAACTAACTTGGTCAGTTAATTAACAGCTCTAGTGTGAGAGACATCAGAGACTGTGTATTAGAATAAACAGAGAACGAATGTAGTTTTTCCCGTTCAAATAATATAAGATTTGCTTGGGAATTGGCCTGACATACTCTTCTCTTCAAACAACCATTTTAATATTCGGTGTTAGTGCAGCAAAGCTCAACTTGTATGAGTTATTCCTTCATGTTCGTCTTTTATTCCAATTCAAAGCAAGAACTTTGAATATTGATGCGCAATATTTATCATATGGTTGAAAATGTTAGGTCCTATAAGAATCCTGGCAGTTTTAAAGAATTGCTGAAGTTTCATTAAATTTAATTAGTCCCAAACAATCTATGAGAGTTTATTCCTGTGTAACTAAGGAAAGCAGCATATGAAGATCACTGGGCAGCCACTAAGTAGGGTGCTTGTTTGGTGTTGGTAAAGACATAAAGCTTGGTGCCCTGTAGAGAAAGACAATGGGGTCTCGTGATACACTTGTCCACTGCATGGTACTAGTGTTAGGTCAGTTTCACTGGCATGACAGTCAACTGAAGTGAGAGCATGCTCAAGTCTAAAGGAGTCATCTGTTTCCCATCATGTCTTAGCTGCTTATAAATATCACTGTTTGTGCCATGCCTTATGCCAATGACTAATGTTTGTCATTATCTTCACTCAGACTCATAAAAACTTCCTCAAGAGAGACCAATCATAGCTAGAATGATGGTAGTCAAACTGTTTTCCTACAACATGGAATATAAAAGCACTTAACTATAAAAGGTGAGATGGATTACTTATTTTGTTTTGAGTCTGTCTGACAACTCCTGCTTGTGGTTAAATTTGCTATGTGGTGAATTGAAATCCTATACGTGAATGCCTAAGAGATGTGGTTGATTTCATAATGCTTCAAAGTTACTCCATTCATCCAAAAATGTAGTCGATGATATATTATAGAAAGCCCAAGAGCAAGGATAAATCTGACACCGGTTGGTTGGAGGTTCAGTATTTCTAACGGTGAGGTGACCCTTCATCTTCCATTTGTGATTTCACTTATGACCTCCGTTATTAAGGTGAGGGTACAGTGTTCATTGTGAGCCCATGCAGAAATGTTTAAATAAGTGAAACAGCTCTTTGCAACATATGGAAGCTGAGTAGTGCATTAAATTATTGTCATGCAAGTGGAAAGCTCATGGTTTTATTGTGCACTATAGCAACATAACAGAAATATATTGATTCTCATTTGTTCATGGCTTTTAGGTCTTATATCACCAGAATTTGAAGTTATGAATTCTTGAGTATTAGAGTAAAAAAAGAAAGCAAAAATGAGTCAACAAGGATATGAATTTTGCTGAAAGAGCATGATAAATGTTTGAACCATTTTTGACAATAAATGGCACAGGAGACAAAAGTTCGTGTGGAATAAAATGTCATCTGTCATACCTGATAGACATTTATAGGGCTTCTGCTTAAAGAGTTATTGTGGTCATCTTTCCAGGTTTTGCCTTTTTAGGTTACAGGAAAGTTCAGTTTTGTTGCAAAGAGCCAGCATGAAGGCACTCAGTTATTACCTGTGGAATAATGCGAAGCTGAGCAGAGTGAACAGAACGTGATGGGAGAGGGCCATGAGTTCCCTCTTGAAGTTCTAATTGTCTCTGAAGCAAAAGGAGGCATGAATGTACGCACTGTAGATGGAGTATACATGGCTTTTAGTTTACAGTTGTTGGCCTGTTGTCAATCTGACCAGTACCACCTTTTCCTTCTCAAGGTTTTCAGATGCATGAGAAAGTATGGTAGCCTAGGAACAATAATAAAAGGCTACCAGTATTTATTACCCATTTATTAAATATTTGCAAATTGCTAGAGACCTTGATATGCTTTTAATGAATAATGAATTCTTTATCATAACCCAATAAAACATCATTGACTGGGGACATAGTGCTCAGTGGTAGATCATCTACACAAAGCCGTGATTTTTATGTAGAACACTGAAAAAAAAGGAGAAGCAATAATGAGTCAAGTATTTTATTATTCCCATATAACAGTTAAAGAAACAGAATGAGGGAGATTAAAACAGCACAGTGTGTTCTCAGTGGGCAAGCCTAGATCTCAACCTACAACAAAAGATGGCATGTTCTTTTCCTAATTACCAGCTTGTGTGATTAATTATTTTGCTTAACATGTTCAAATATTATTAGCTGTTCTACTTTTATTATCCCTAGCTCTTGTAACTGTGTTTTTATAAGGCCAAGAGCTCTTTAAGATGCAGGAGAAGCCTGAACTCAACTAGATAGCCGTTCAAGTTACTAATGTCTCTATATTAATGAAAAAGATTTGATAAATGATTGGTTTATGTCAGACACTGTTATTTTGACTGCTCCCTATGTTAAACCACAACTTTGTAAAACAGTTCTACAAGAAAAATCTGTGACTCTCATAAACACAAACATTGCTTCAGCTGTTAACACTAAATTGGTTCACAGGTTAAAAATGAAGAATGAGGGATTTTGCTGTTTCCATAGATTCCGGGACTTCTATTCCTGGGGATCTGGAATAACTGAGTATTAGGGTACAGGACATAAGGTTAATAAAAGGAAAGTTCTTGGTGGAAGAAGAACTCCCCAAACTTTCGTATTTACAGTCACTATCATGTACTGAATACTTGATGAAGACATGAACTTTACATACTGTTTGTCCTTTGCTTTTCTCTTCACCATAACTCAAGTAAGAAAAGAATCACCAGAAGTTTAGCTCTGCTATGCTATACAGGGTATTTGCCTCCGAAATCTCTAGGTATTTCTCCAGTTTAGAAATATTTCTGATAAAAAAATTAATTAAACCACATGAATGTAAAGCATATGTATTAGTAGCACAGAAATGCTATTATATATAAAGTCATCACTTCTAACAAATATTGAAAATTCATATGAGTATACATTAAGTTCTTTGTGTTATAGAAAGGCAAGTAAATATGACCAGGCTTATGCACAATATGATTACAGTTCACTTGGAGATGAAACATATGCCTACAAACATGGACTGGGTACTGTCATTACAGGCTAAACAAGAAGTTGATTTAGCCCAGGACTGGGGAAAAAAGGCATCCTAAAAGAGATGAGACTGGATGGAATGGTCAGATGTGGAGAAAACGTAAGTGAAAAGAATTTTTGTTTTCCTTAGCCCAAACTAGTGGTATCTTGTCTTTAGAACGTGAGAGATGGCTCAGTGATTAAAAGCTTCATATTGTTCTTCCAGAGGACCTAAATTCAGTTCTCAACAACCATGTCAGGTTGCTCAAAACCACCCATAACTCCAGGTCCTGGGACATCCAATGCCTTTATCCTACAAATGCACATACCCACACTCTGATACACACACACACACACACACACACACACACACACACACATACATACACACATACACTCATTTTAAAATAATAAAAATAAATCTTTAATGTTAAGGAAAGAGCTATAATTTGCTTGAAATCTTACATATGATTACAAATTCATATATCTGTAATAAGTTGAGTCACTGCTAATAAACCCAATTTAGACCACAAACTAACAATGACAGGATTTGTGTGCTATTGTTCAAGTTTTGATTTTCAGATTGTTAGCATAGCGGTAAGCATGTTAGACTTTGTATATCACATAGTTACTAAGTGAATGGGACAATTCAGGCACTTGATTTATTCAGCCCCCTTGCCTATGAGGCCAATGACAGCCATATCTATGTAAAGATGGAGTAGTTTACCCATGGCAGTTTGGGGCTGTTTTTGATTGGTTTTGTCTGGTTTTCCTTTGTTGTTGTTCTGGAACCAACCAAAGGCTCTCACAATTTACACAACTTTCTAAGGCAAGCTTTTAGGTTTTTGACCTCCCAGAAGGAAAGTTAAAAGTGGCAAAGGAGTTATAAGGAAGCTAGCTGCAGGAGGTTCTCTTCCAAGAACAGCTGGTGTATTGGTTACTTTTCTGCTGCTGTGATAAAACTCAATGACTTCAGCATCTTATACAAAAATAAATAAATAAAAAAAAATAAAAATAAAAACAGTTCATTCAGGGTTATGGTTCTGGGACTCAGAGTCCATGGTGGTGATATGGAGACAGCAAGCAACAGGCATTGCCACTGAAGAAGTATCTGAGCTCACATCACAAACCCCAAGCAAGAGGCAGAGACAACACAGTAGATATAGCAAGATTCCTTAAATTCCCAAAGTCCAACTCCAGTGAGATACTTCTGCCAGCAAGGCCACATTTCTTAAAACTCCCAGACATTGCTGCCAACTGGGCACTAAGAGATCAATGTCTGAGACTACAGAGGACATCTCACTCCAGCCGCCACAGCAGTCAAATCCTTTTCTCAGATCAGTCCCTCCACAGGAAACAGCACAGCCACCGAGCCTACTCATTGACAGTACCATGGCTTCCCAAATATTCTCAAGTACCATCTGCTGGCTCCTGACTGTTTGTAAGAGATGGTTGGTTTTTCACTGGTTTGGTTGGGTCTGTTGAGAATGCTTTAAAAGCCATAACCAAAAACGTAACCAAGAATCATTATCTCACCCTACATATTGGCCGCTGTGAGAGGCAGAATACAGATGGGGAAATATCATGGTGAACTGATTGCAGAAAGCTTTGATCACTCAAACAGTGTGTCAGTCACTTTGTAAAAAATGGAAAATACATTCAGGGTGAAACTGTATTAGTAGTAAAGACAGCCGCTTACTTTAGAATTAGAAAATGGGAGCACATAGAACCTGGAAGGAGGAGCCTGGCAGAAGATATTGTCACAGTACTAGGCCACCGGGGGCTTACACCTGAGGCCACTTGATGAAATTCTGACTGCCTCCCCGTTGATTGATTTTGATTCATTCGGCCTTTATATCTAAGATAGAAAGACTTTTAAAATGTGGTCTCCCACCCTAAAGTAAAATCTAGTAATTCTCAAGGTGACTGTATTCTCATAGACACAGGAAATTCAGGATTGAATGAAACCTCACAACTTCACATTGCTCAGTAAAATATTATATTGGCTACCAAGTAGCACCATTCAAAGCTCTGTTCTCCTGGCCTCCTAAATGGTTGGCATTACATTGCCCTACCATCTCCCCGTCCTCATCCTGGAGAGGCCCGATCATCAGATAAACACTGGGAGGAAATCCATAATTACACAATTTATTATGTGTAATGATTAAACAAGATCAGACCCAAAGTAGTTCATTTGCCTTGGGCCACACGAGACAGCTGAAAATACAATGAACTCATGTATTAATGAAAATTCGAGCATGGACCATCACATCTCTGGTGTGGTAACTATTGTTAGTTGTCAACATGACACCCTTGGGATCTCAGTTGAGGAACTACCTCCATCTGATTAGACCAGGGGACGTTTTCTTGATAACTAATTGATGGAGGAAGACCCAGCAAACCTTAGTAAGTTTTATCCCTGGGTAGTTAGGCCTGTAGTGTGTGAGAAAGGCAGCTGAGCAAGCTAAACATGTGTCTCTATAATTAGTGATACTGCTGACTGAGTAAATATTTAAAGAAGGTATTACGTAGGAGAAATAGTCCTGTGTTAGATTGTCTGGGTACAAATCTTTCATTGACTATCAGCTAATAGTGAGTAAAAACCTCAGCCATAGTCTTTCCTTCCTTAAATGATTCTTTTCTGATGAAACAATCTATTTCATAAGCTACAATCACGTTGCCCTTTTAGAAAACCCCTGGCACGGAGAAGGTGCCTGGAGACTGTGTGCTGGCAAATCAGCAGAGATTAGATGAGGTAACTTTTTAGTCTCCTAAAGACTGCACAGTGTAAGTGTACTTTCCTGTGCTGAGCTTTTACATTGTTTAGAAGCCAGTGCCCCATTTGAATGAGTTTTTTAGAAATCCATAATAAAAGCCCATCCAAACAGCTTGAAATACCAAGCATGGTGTCATCAAAAGGTACAGTAATTACGGTAAAGGGGTCATCTTGGATTCTGCTTATACTGCATCTTTTAAATAAGCATCAGATTTTTCTCCAGGCAGTTGCTATTCCTACAGAGGCAAACACAGATGGTGTCCAAGCGTCCTACTCAGTCCTTCTAGGCAAAAGCATTGATCAAATGCTGCAGGTCAATAAAGACTCAGAGAAAACCCTCCACCTTAGTGTCATGCAGCATGGTGACTTAGGCAACTAACCCTCTGTTGGCAAATTCAAGGAATTGCTCACGAATAAAATATACTAATGACACAAACAAACTCTTAATTTTAAGTTTGACGAAAGAGCGATTTCTTTTGGGGGGAAATCGCTTTGTCTTTTCCAATGAGCATCTCTAGGCAAAGAGAAACGAAGGCTTGGTTGCACACCTGTGTCTTGTAGTGCACGGGCACTCTGCCATTCCTTCTGACGTGGCCAAGCAGAGCAGAACGGAGATTTGTCTTGCTCATACTTGCCTTATAATCACACATCCTAAAAGAGAGCAAGCTTGCTTCCTGTGATTTCTACAGCTCAACCCTCTTCACTGGGTTTTGCAGTTTCTAGGTCTGCTTGCCCTTGAACCCAGTCCTTGCTGATCCTCTAGCTCACTCAATAAGGAGGAATCTGTTCTCCAGGGCTCCTTTCCCTCAGGTAATCCCAGGTGGTACAGCTGGTTCCTGCAAGTGAAGCCTCTGAAGACTAGAGAGGAACAAGCAGAAGATAGACTCTTTCTCTGAGATTCTCTCTGTCTCCTTCCCACTCCTGCTGCAACTTTGTCTCTTTCTTGATCCCTCTCTGCAGGCCTGTGTTCTGGCTCCCACCATTTGGCATCCAGCTGTGCTGTGATAGCCCCTCCCCTCTGTTGCTCTCATCTAATCTCACTGTGATTTACTCCAGGTACTGCTTTCTGGTTGATCCTATTTTATTGTTTTCTCTCTCACAGCTTCTCTATTGGTGATTATCAATGCCCTGTTCATCTCAGTACCTGCATACTATCATTCAGACACTCCAAGTGAATCTTTATTTGCTAATTGATGGCTGGTGGAGTCCAGGTTGGGTCTGGACTACCTGCTCTTACTGAATTCCTGGGGAAGAAAGACTGTGGACGGCAGTGTCTTTGCTGTCATCACCACTCCAGCCTCAGAGATGCTCCTGGTCAGGATCACTGACAGACAACGTTCCCTTCATGGCTCTTGTCTTTTGCTACATCACTGTGTCCTCTGAGCTCTATCTGTGCTCCCCAGGGATGTCCAAGTGTCTGCCACCTTTAGTGTCAGAACACACTCAACTGTTACCCATGAACAAAAACCTAGTCTATCCTTCCTTTCTGTAGAACATTCCCCATATATATCACGGGGACTGATTTACCCTATCAAGAGTCAGTGCTCCCCACTAGTACAGTGGTTCTCAACCTGTGGGTCGGATGAACCTTCACAGGGGTTGTCTAAGACCCTCTGAAAACACAGGTATTTACATTATAATTCATAACAGTAACACAATTATAGTTATAAAGTAGCAATGAAAATAATTTAATGGTCGGAGGTCACCCCAACATGAGGAACTGTACGAAAGAGCGTCAGCATTTGGAAGGTTGAGAACCACAGGTCTAGTGAGTCACAAAGGATAACAAGGTTCCTAGACTCCCCGATATGCAAACAGCAGAATTCGAATATATAGCATGTTAGTTCTTATTCTAAAATTCTGTTCCTTTTTGCTTTCTTTCCAATGAAAGAAATGTGAGCTGTGGAACATGTCTACTTCAAAAAGGTTTGAATTGTAGTTATTCGCCTGTTTTACACCGAAAGTGTCAAGCTGTTGATCTGCATGCAACCTTGGACCTTGTTAAGCCTTCGGAGGATGCTGAACATTGCAGCTTATGCCAATGTCAAGTTTCTAAAAATAGCCTTGTGTGGGGATTTCCCTCGCTCCTTTCACACACACACACACACACACACACACACACACACACACACACACCATTCCATTGCTCTACTTCCCTTCCTCAAATGACCTTTTTTCCTCCCAGTTTCTCTTGTTAGGCTCATTGAACTCTCCCGTTCACAGTTTGGGTGGTGATGCTTGCGACATCTTGTTTGGGCCTCAACGGAGCACTATCTGAAATGTGTTATTTCCCTTTCCTGTCAGATGTGAGTCTCCATAATAAAAAGTCTATCTTGACTGCCTAT